GCGCGGGCGCGCGTACGCGCGCCCGCGCGCGCCTCCCTTTGCAACGTTTCTCCCGCAGAAGCAATTGCGGTTCTTTAATTCGTCGGACATTTTAGGAGAGATTCCAAAGCGCGCGGGCGCGCGCGGGCGCGCGTACGCGCGCCCGCGCGCCTGCCATTTTTTTGGTTTGACCCGCGGAAGAAATTGTGATTCCTCCCAAATTTGGAATGTTTTCGCGGAAGTTTCAGAGCGCACAGGGATTTTTTCATTTATTTTTTGTTTCTTTTGCGGACGATCTGCGAGCACACGGGCGCGCCTTCTTGCACGTGTCCATGACTCGGCGGCAACCATGGTGTCCCAAATCTTTCATAACGGATTTCCAAAAAGGTGCGCGGGCGCGCGTACGCGCGCCCGCGCGCTTCCGATCTAATGGTGGATGGCAATAAGGATTCCTCCCAATTCCGAATTTCTGATGGCCATTTCCCTCTCTGCGGGCGACGAAGTCGTTGGAATCTTTTTAAATTTTTGTATAAGTTACCAAAACCTTCAGAATCTCTAGAATCATTGAAAATCGTTCTGAATCCTTAGAATCCGACAGAATCCCACAAAATCCACCGGAATTGCTCAGAACCGGGAAAATCGTTCGGGATCCTGAAAAATCAAACCAAACCTGCGGAATCCTTCAGAAATTGCCAGAAGGCGCATGTTTCCTTCAGAATCACAAAAGATCTTGCAGGATCCCACAAGAAGCACACAGAATCCTGCAGGATGTCGCACAAGCCGCCAGGATCCCACAGAAGTACCCAGGATCCCTCAGGCGTGCTCAGAATCCACCAGAACCTTTTGTTTTTTCAGAATCATACGAAATTGGTTGGAGTCCGCCGAAAGCCATGAGGCAGCCCGGGAGGGAGGGGTCTGGGCCCAGCAACAGCCCACCAGAAGGTGCTGCAGGTCTGCCGCAGGCTGCCGCAGGTCGCCGCAGGTCTGCCGCAGGTCTGCCGCAGGCTGCCGCAGGTCTGCCGCAGGTCTGCCGCAGGTTGCCGCAGGCTGCCGCAGGTCTGCCGCAGGCTGCCGCAGGCTGCCGCAGGTCCGCCGCAGGTCTGCCGCAGGTCTGCTGCAGGTCTGCCACAGAGCGCCTCGGGGCGCCCCCGGGATTCCTCACGTTCGGGTTGGCCAGGGGGGCGTCGGGGAGGTTCGAGGCATTTTGCGGCGTTTCGGGGCGTGTACCAGAGTGCGAAGGGTTGCGGGGCGGTTGCGGGCGAGGATTGGGGTGTTTGGGGGGGGGGATTGTGGAGTGAGATTGGGTTGAGAGCGGCCAGGAGAAGGATCGGTGTGTTCGGGAGTGTTTTCGGGTGTTCTGTGGGGTTCGGAGCGGAAAACAATTTGACCGCGCATTTATGTAGAGTTTCGGTTATTCTGACGGCATCCGGAGGGGCCAAGTGCGGTTCCGAAGGGTTTTAGCGAGTTCGGGTGGGTTTGGTTATATTTTTTTCATTTTCCACGTCCGGGGGATTGTATCGTCGCTGCGTCAATGCGCAATGGATTTGGATCAAAATTGAAAGCGCTGTCGTTTTGGGATTGGGAAGAAAGGGCGCAGGGATACCCCAATTGTTGGAAGCGGGTTGAAGAAGAAATTGTTGTGTTTTTTTGTATTGTTCGGACATGGGGTGGGGACCCTTGTGTTATTTGCCGATTTCCGGAAATTGCCGAGGGCTGGGCGGCATTTCGGAAGAGGGAAGGGGGGCCAGGCGGTTTGGATGGCGTCAGGGCGGTCGCGCCGGACTCCCGCATTTTTTCAAGTATTCCGAACCATATTGAGATGCTGGGTTTTCGTTTTGAAGAAACAGCGCCCCGCGTCTCTTCATTCATTCGCCCACTCACATACTCATTCGTTCTCCTTTGTCATCCCCTTCCTCCTTTTCCTCTTCCTCCTCCTCCTCCTCCCCCTCCTTCCCCCGTCATCATCATCGTCACCATAATCGCCATCAGTTTCGGCATCAGCTTCGGCACACCCCTCGCACGTTTCGCGGCCCCAGAGGGAGTTCCACCGAAGGCGCCAGTGCCACCGCACGCATGCGTCACTTACGCCCAATTCGGCACACCCTCACACGTTTCGCGGCCCCATAGGGAGCTCCACCGAAGGGCCCATGCATTTCCACCGCCCGCATGCCTCATGTACACCCAATTCGGCACACCCTCACACATGTCGCGGCCCCACATAGAGCTCCACCGAAGACCCCAGTGTCACCGCCCGCACGCGTCACCGACGCGCAATTCGGCACCTTACACACACGCTTCGTGGCCGCATAGGGCGCTCCCCCGAAGGCCCCAGTACCGCCGCCCGCATGCGTCACCTACAGCAAATTCGGCACACCCTTAAACATTTCGCGGCCCCATATAGAGCTCCACCAAAGGCCCCAGTGCCACAGCCCGCATTCGTCACCTACGCTCAATTCGGCGCACCCCTCACAGGGTTCGCGCTCCCATAGGGAACTCCACCGAAGGCCCCAGTGCCACCGCCCGCACGCGTCACCTACACCCCATTCGGTACACCCCTCACATGTTTCGTGGCCTTGTAAGGAGTTCCGCCGAAGGCCCCATTGCCACCGCCCGCATGAGTTATGTACACCCAATTCGGCACAATCCTGACACGTTTCGTGGCCCCATAGGATGTCCACCGAAGCCCCCAGTGCTTTTGCCCGCGTGCGTCACCTACATTCAATTCGGCAAACCCCTCACCCGCTTCGTGGCCCCAAAGGGAGCTCCACCGAAAGCCCCAGTGCCACCGCCCACATGCGTCACCAACTTCAATTCGGCACACCGTTCACACATTTTGTGGCCCCACAGAGAGCTCCACCGAAGGCCCCAGTGCCACCGCCCGCATGCGTCACCCACACACAATTCGGCACACCCCTCATACGCATCGCGCTCCCATATGGGGGCTCCACCGAAGGCCCCAGTACCACCGCCTGCATGCGTCTCCTTCAGTGGATTTTGCACACCCCTCACGCGTTTCGTGGCCTCATGGGGAGCTCCACCGAAGGCCCCAGCGGCACCTCCCACATGCGTCACCAACATATTCTCTCACGCTTCGCGGCCCCATGGGGAGCTCAACCGAAGGCCCCATTGCCACTGCCCGCATGCGTCATGCACACACACGTCGGAACACGCCTCACACATTTCGTGGGTCCACAGAGAGCTCCACCGAAGGCGCCAGTGTCACCGCCCGCGCGCGCCATTTACATACAATTCGGCACGCCCCTCAGACGTTTTCGCGGCCCCATAGGGAGCTCCACCAAAGGCCCCAGTGCCACCGCCCGCAACATTCAAGTCGGTGTTTTGTGGCCAGAGCTCCACCGAAGGCCCCAGTGCCACCGCCCGCATGCGTCACGTACATTCTCTCGGCACACCCTCACACGTTTCGTTGCCCCGCAAAGAGCTCCACCGATGGCCCCAGTGTCACCGCCCGCATGCGTCACGTACTTTGAATTCGGCACACCTTTCATACAGTTCGTGGCCTCAGAGGGAGCGCCATTCACAATTGCGGTCTTCACAACAGCGTATGTTTGGGTCCCTCGCCAGGCTAATTCCTTAACCATCCTGTGGTATTGGATCTTCGTCGGGAAGAGGCAGCGCCCGGCGTTCTGGGCCATGCCTCGCACGTTTCGGCACATGCCTCACACGTTTCGTATCCCCATGAGGACGGGGCGGCGGCATAAGCCTTTTTGCGCGTGTTCGGCGTAGTTCCCGATGGTGCCACGAAGCGTTTGAGGGGTGTACCACAATGACGGGGTGGTGGCATACGTCCTTTCCAATCGGGGCCTGCTGTTTAGCGCCCCATGGGGCGACGAAGCGTGCGATGGGCGTGCCAAGATTGCACGGTGGCGGCATACGTCCTTCCCCATTGGGGCCTCTGGTGGAGCTCTCCGTGGGGCCACGAAACGTGTGAGGGGCGTGGCAAAATGGCGGGGTGGCGGCATCAGTCCTTTCCTATTTGGCCCTTCGGTGGAGCCCCTTTGTGGGGCCACGAAACGTGCAAGGGGTTTGCCAACATGGCGGGGTGGCGGCATACGTCCTTTACGTCTGCCTCAGGTCCTTGTTGATTGTTACGTCTCCTTGGGGGGGTGCTACATATTGCTCTTTCGGGCCATGATGGAGGCCACGCCTGGGGGCAAGAAATACGTGTGAGTGTTATTTGCGCCCCGCTGCTTTTGCAAAGCGTCTTCCCCGAAGGAATTCTGGCGAGTTTTCAGGCATCGTCTGGCCCCTCCCTGGTAGCCAGCGCCCCCAAGTGCCAAGACCCCATCCATGGTCATCAGACCTCCTGGGGCCCCTCCATCGGAGGATCTGCTGTTCGAGTCTCTTGGGGGACCTTCGTTCTGATACTTGCAAGGGTTTGCTTGACTGCTTGGTTCTACTTTGTTGCGTCTTTGTCCGGCGTGTCCGAGCTTAGCCCCGTTGTGAAGGAGTGTCCCGTTAGCAAAACGCCCCCCCAATCCCTTGCCCACCCCCCTTTGGCATCGGCCACGCGTTCGGGACAGGGCTTAACAAATTAGACCCACCACTTGGATGAGGAACTGGAAATTTCACGAATCCCCCCCCCCCGCAAGCGTCGCTACCAGGGGCTACCGGTGACAACGATTGCCCGGCCAGGGCGCCCGTTTGGTTCAAAATGTGTTGTGCGAGCTTCCGTGCCTTTCTTAACCCTTTGTGAAAGGGGGGCCTGGAAGAAAGAGCGGGGGGGGTACCTCCCAGCGTTTGCGCCGACGGCGACGCACCCTTGGAGCCTGGCTGAGGCTTTTTCGAGGACCCACAACAACATAATGGTTTGGACATGGCGCAGCACGCACCCCGTCAGAAAGAAACGGCACACAGCAAACACGACCAGCAACAGCAATCTGTCAGCACACGCCAGCAACAACAGACACAACGCAGCACGACGTATTTCAGGTCAATTCCATACCCTGCCCCCCCATATCACAACTTCTATCGTTGATTTGCCAGCGTCGCTGACCCCCGAGGTGGCAGCCCCCGCGGCGGGCATCGTGCCCGTGCCGTGTTCGCCGGCCAGGGACCCCGCGGCTGCCCAGAACCTGTCTTTGGTGACTGGCTTGCGGCGGCTGGCACGCGTGGAGGGGAAGGGGGGCAGTGGCACGGGGGTAGCGGGCATTGGGCGGAACGAGAGGGGAGAGGAGAGGGGAGGAACGAGAGAGGGAGGAGACATCGGGCAGTGGCACGGGAGAGGGGAGGAACGAGAGCCGGCGAGGGGAGGCCACTCCTGCGACGGATTGGCCCGGCAAGAGGCCCTCGGTGAAGGGCGTGCCCGTGCCCGATTTGCCCGAGCGGATATTGGATTGGCCGCGGCACGAAGCCACGAGGTGTTTCTTCACAGGGCCTGCTTCGAAGTTGCGCCGCAACTTGGGCGCCGGCATGCTCGAGACAGGTTTGGTGGTGAGCTCGGATACAACGCGCTTCGCGCACGCGAAATCTCACCTCCCTGCTGCTGCTGCTTACTCCGCCTCTCTGTATATGTCTCTTTCTTTCTGTTTCTCTTATGCAAAGGCCCCTCACGGGGCCCCGTGAGGGGCTCTCTGCATGTGGTTGTTTCTCTTCCACGAACATTCGAGGCCCCTCGCGGGGCCCCGTCGTTTCGTTGAAGGCCCTCTCGGGTCCCGAGGGGGCCTTATGAGCTACCTTTGAGGCATCCTGGAATAGGCTGGTGGCGCGGTACGGTGTGAGCGACCCCATCGCGGTCTTCGGGGGTCCTTGAGGGCCGCTCTGCGGGCGTCTCAGTTTGTCGAGGGCTGCGTTCGCAAAGTTGCCCCAGACATGTTGATAGTGACATTTTGGGGTCCGGGCCTCCTTCGAGCCCCCCGTCCGAGGCAGTCGAGGGCCCCCTGGAGCGAGCCTGCTGTGCTGCACTGCGCCTGCTATCGTTTTTGTGGCCCTTCTGGGGTCGGCAGACTACTCGGGAGAGCTCGGGGCAGAGACGGCCACGAAGCTCACGATGTGCGGCATGAGGTTGGCTGGAGTGCCAGGGGTGACGGAAAACAATCACGTCTCGTGGTGCGGCAGCGACGTGACCAAACGTTCCATCGACGTGATGAAATCGGAGTGCGTGCACGTCATCAAAGGTATCGGGGCGAAGTTGCCCCTGGCCGTGCAGAGAGGCCTCATCGCTCGAAGGCCCCCCGAGCGGCTGCTGGAAGTTGGCAAGCCCAAGTTGAGGCGCGACGAGGCGGGGGCTTCACATTTGGTTCTGAAGCTCCATGGTTCTTATCCTCTGTCGCCAGCTCACGTTCCAACTTGATTTCTTTTGTTGCGCGCACGTTAGCGCGTGTGCGCGCACATCGGTGCCGCGCGAGCGACCTGGGGAAGTTATCTTGCCAATCGAATCGGCCTTGAGTCGGAGCCTGGTGGGAACCTACACCCAGCAATGCAAATCTTGAGGCGTCGCCCGCCCAGACATCCCAGCCAGCCCATCCAGAAAGGAATTCTGGACAAGTCTTCACCGCTTCGCTCCTCCTGTAACGGCCTTGCATGCAGGCGCGCGTTGGCAGTTGCGACGCCCCATCCCCCTCTTCACATTCGCCCCGCCTCCCCGCCTTCGAATGAGACGGGGGGAAGATGAGGCGTAGGAGTAGGAAGACGAGAAGGAGGGGGATGAGGGGGGCGGGGTCGGAGAAGGAGGAGGGGGATGCGGCGGGGAGGTAAGGGGGTTGGACACGGTGGAGTTGGCCTGGGCCTGGCACAGCATCCCCCCGACAGGGCCTCCGGAAACAAGTGGAGAAGCATTACCTGAAGCAGAAGAAGTACTTGTCCACGGTCTGCAAGGATGTTTTCAAAAGTCGATATCTTCCGGCAGGGGCGTGTCTGCTGCATCCCGGGGCGACTTGCCCATGGCAGTTTCAGCCGAGCAGCGCCGTGGACTCAAAGCAGCGCCCACTTAGCGTTCATTGGTCCGGGCCGCAGTGCGTTGCTTGGACAAGGTGGGGCGCTGGGTTCCCAGGTCATTCGAAACGTTGGCGATGTCGATGTCCATCCCGCGATATGGAGGGGGGAGACCCCGTTTTTTGGAAATTGTGCCCCAGTGGTTCAATAGAAAGCATTTCAAGCCAGCGTGTGGCTTGTTGGCGGCCCAGGCTTCTTACCACTCGGGTTTTCATTCCTGGGGTGGCGAATGCATGGGCCTTCGGGTGGCATTTTGTTTCTGGTGGACACTCGGGCCCCAGCTCGCCCCTGTGGTTTCAAGCGCCCCTCTTTCAAAGTAGGGTCGGTCTTGTATAGGCGCGCCGTGTATCCCCACCAATCCATCGAGTAATGATGCCACGGCGACTTTCCTTGATCGGGGAAGCGCGGCATTACGCAGTGGAGCTCACATGGATTACGTAGGACTTCTCTCACCTTCAGTATCTCACTATTTCTTCCTTCCCGCACACATATATAGAAGCCTAAACCAGACCCGTCCAAGCCATCCAGTTCATTTTCTTTCGGTTGTCCCCCCAAACTTTATAATCACATCAGCGGCGTGTGATTGTCACGCTGCCACGATGACGCCAGGCGATTCGATATTTCGGATGCGAACCGATTAAATTTCCAGCAGTGTTTTCGTTCCCGGCCGCTGCGGCCCCTTATCCCGCCAGGCTCGGGCTGGCAGATCCGTCCGCCGAGCCCTGGAACATCTATACGGAGCAGTTGGGGGACCTGGCGGCCGACATCATCATCATGGAGAACAGCCCGGACATGCCAGCACATATGTTCAAGGACGCTTTCAAGTCCAAGGGGGAGTACGTGTTCGTCGACTTGGTGTTGAATCCGTTTTCGGATTGGGGCGTCCAGAGGAAGCGCCGGTGGCAGGCGGCGCTCAAGGTTTCCACGGTGATCTGGTCAGGCGCGGTGGGGGCCGAGGACCAGCAGGCCCAGTTCGACGCCATCTTCGGGCACGGCACGGACGGGCAGCCGCCCCCAGCGCCGCCATTATGCGATGCGTATCTGGTGTCTTCCGCGGACGAGGAGAAGGCGCATTGCAATGCGTTGGCGGCAAAGCGTGGCTTGTACCCGCGCCCTGGCCACACGGTCCCCCTCGGCGCGTGCTTGTCGGAGTGCTACTTGAAACACGCCCAGCTCCTGAAGAAGGTGCACCTCGTGTCCTGGAAGCACTCGTGCTTCGCCGCCGACATCTCCCAGAACCCGAAGTACTGCGTCCGCGGCGGCGACGCGCTACCTGCAGCAACCACGAGTTCGTTGTTCTTCTCTTTCTCTCAGGACCTCGCCCCGCTCGGGGGGGGGGCCCGACGATGCGAGGGGGACCAGAGCGGGCGAATAACGACAGAGGGGTGGAGGGAGAGGCGAGAGGAAAGGCGAGGAGGGGGGAGGGGGCCGGGGGGGCGGGGAGGGCGACGGGGGGAGGGGAGGAGGATGCGGATTCCAGTGGCAAGGTTTATGTTGATCCCACGTGTTCCCCGTCCGACAGGTTGGGGATATTCCATTTTAAGGACAGACCTCCCGACCCGCCCGCCCTGCGTACCGCGGCCGCCGGATCCCCAGGTCGTCCGAAAATCCGAGAGAATCACGCCCCCCGCCCTGCATACCACGGCCGCCAGATCCCCAGGTCACCCGAAAATCCCTGAGAATCCTGCCCCCCGCCCTGCATTCCGCGGCCGCCAAATCCCCAGGTCTCCCGAGTGTCACAGGTGACGAGCCTCAGGCTAACAGGTGACAGGCCTCCGGGCTACCCGGTGACAGGCTTCTGGGGTAACTGGTGACCGGCGCCGGAGCTAGCATGTCACAGCCTTTGGAGCTTACAGGTAGAAGGCTCGGGGCTAACACGTGACAGGCTTCGGATCTTACAGGTGACAGGCCTCAGGGCTAACAAGCGACAGGCGTCCGAGGGAACAGGTGGCAGACCTCTTGGCTAACATGTGACAGGCGTCGGATACAACAGGTAGAAAAGGCCTCCAGGGTAACGCATGGCAAATTTCAGGGCAAACAGGTGGCGGGCCTCAAAGCTAACAGGTGACAAGCCTCATGGTTAACAGGTGACAAGCCTCATGGCGAACTTGGCCCTGGGGGGCCCGAGGAATAGATGCGGGGTACGTTTGGTACCCATCGACACGTCATCATGAGCCCCAATCCGTGGGCCCCGTGATGCGGGAAGGTAATTGCAGGATTCGGCCGCAGCAATAGTAGTAGTAGTAGTGGTAGTGGTGGTGGTAGTAGTAGTAGTAGTAGTAGTAGTAGTAGTAGTAGTAGTAGTAGTAGTAGTAGTAGTAGTAGTAGTAGTACTAGTAGTAGTCGTAGTAGTGGTAGGAGTAGTGGTAGTAGTAGTAGTAGTAGTAGTAGTAGTAGTAGTAGTAGTAGTAGTAGTAGTAGTAGTAGTAGTAGTAGTAGTAGTAGCAGTAGTAGTAGTAGTAGTAGTAGTAGTAGTAGTAGTATTAGTAGTAGTAGTAGTAGTAGTAGTAGTAGTAGTAGTAGTAGTACTCGTAGTAAGTAGTAGTAGTAGTAGTAGTAGTAGTAGTAGTAGTAGTAGTAGTAGTAGTAGTAGTAGTAGTAGTAGTAGTAGTAGTAGTAGTAGTAAGTAGTAGTGGTAGGAGTAGTGGTAGTAGTAGTGGTAGTAGTAATAGTAGTAGTAGTAGTAGTAGTAGTAGTAGTAGTAGTAGTAGTAGTAGTAGTAGTAGTAGTAGTAGTAGTAGTAGTAGTAGTAATAGTAGTAGTAGTAGTAGTAGTAGTAGTCGTATTAGTGGTAGTAGTAGTAGTAGTAGTAGTAGTAGTGGTCGTCGTCGCCTCGTCGTCGTCGTCGTTGTCGTCGTCGTAGTCGTATTCGTAGTCTGCCTCGTCTTTGTAGTAATAGTCGTCGTAGTCGTAGTAGTAGTAGTAGTGGTAGTAGTAGTAGTAGTGGTAGTAGTAGTAGTAGTACTAATGGTAGTAGTGGTAGAAGTAGTAGTAGTCGTAGTCGTAGTCGTAGTCGTAGTAGTAGTGGGAGTAGTAATGGTAGTGGTAGTGGTAGTAGTAGTAGTAGTAGTAGTAGTAGTAGTAGTAGTAGTAGTAGTAGTAGTAGCAGTAGTAGTAGTAGTAGTAGTAGTTGTCGTAGTAGTAGTAGTAGTAGTAGTAGTATAGTAGTAGTAGTAGTAGTAGTAGTAGTAGTAGTAGTAGTAGTAGTAGTAGTAGTAGTAGTAGTAGTAGTAGTAGTAGTAGTAGTTAGTAGTAGTAGTAGTAGTAGTAGTAGTAGTAGTAGTAGTAGTAGTAGTAGTAGTAGTAGTAGTAGTAGTAGTAGTAGTAGTAGTAGTAGTAGTAGTAGTAGTAGTAGTAGTAGTAGTAGTAGTAGTAGTAGTAGTAGTAGTAGTAGTAGTAGTAGTAGTAGTAGTAGTAGTAGTAGTAGTAGTAGTAGTAGTAGTAGTAGTAGTGGTAGTGGTAGTGGTAGTGGTAGGAGTAGTAGTATTAACGTAGCAGCAGGAGTAGTGGTGGAGGGAGGAGGAGGGGAGGAGGGGATGGGGGGAGGGAGGAGTAGAGCGAGGCGGTCCGAGAGGAAGGAGGAGGGAGGAGGACGGGGAGCAGGAGGACGGGGGAACAAGGATGATGGCTTGATGGCTACCAGGGGGCTCACTCTTCTCGGGGCCTCCTCGTGGAGAGTGACGCAGGGTCGGGCTTCGCGAACGCATGCCGTGCCGCAGAGGACCGGTTCTTCACCCCGAAGGACCTCGCATGTGCCCACGGGTGGCCGGTATCTGATGGCTTTTGGCCCAACCCGCCGCCATGCCTGGAATGTAGACCAGGCGCCCCCATGATTCTTCATTCCCGCTTGCGCGTAATTTTGTTCCCCGGGGTGTAACGAGCCCCATGTCCCAGCCACGCGGCCGATAAGTAGGCACTAGGCACGTGGCCGATAACAAAGCATTGTAGAGCTAGCGTATAGTGCTCGCGCTAAGCCGCGAGATGTTAAATGAAACGCCCGCGGGTGATCAAACGGTCAGAGAGAAGAAATGCGCACCGCCGGTGTCGTATTCGGATTCTTCTCGTGGCCCTCTTGGGCTTCTTAGGGGGGCTTCGAGGGTTGCCATGCCAAGTTTGGGCGGTCTGGGGGCGTTTTCTGGGTCGTTGCGGAAATGTCGGATACGATGCGGGGCGCTCGCAGGAGCGCCCCAGAACGCCCAGAATTCAGAGGTCCAGGAATCCCTGAAGACCCCTTGCGATGGTCAATTTGGGAATTTCGAGGGGACCTGAGGGCGCTGCATGCGGGACTTCGACTCCCGGTGGCGGACCCGGCGTGCGCGCGCACGACAAGTACATGCATTGCATCCCGAAGTATTTTCGAACGACGACGGCGGCCGCCAGCACATCCACCGCATCCGTGGGGAATGGATACCATATGGTGTCCGCTTCGAGGTGCCTCGCTGCGCGATGCCAGTGCTAACGAGCACGATACAGAATGGGTCTGGTGACATGAGGGCGTGGCGTGGAGGAAGGACAGGAGCTAACAGGGGGAGAGGCGGCGGGGGGCGGGGGGGGGCAGGGAAAGAGTAGCGCACAAGTGAACAGCCAGGTTTTTCATGTACCTGGTGTCGCATTGCCAGATGCGCGGCCGCGACCACTTGTGGGACAGGCACAACGATTTCTGAGCCACGGCTGCAAGAGTACGCCGGGGAATATTATGTGAGGGGAGGGGTAGGATGAGGAGGATGAGGAGGAGGAGGAGGAGGGGGTGGGATGGAATGAGGAGCAAAGGAAAGGCATCTCACACAGACGGGCTCCATGGATGGTTGATTTTCCGCGAATACGAGAAGGGGGCGCCCCCCTTTCCCGCCGGGAAAAAGGGGGGGTGAGCGCGGAGTTTTTTC